GCGAATTCTTCAGCCCCATTGGCCCAGAGCATTGCTGACCCTTGACTCCATCGGGTGAGTTCGAGGCCGGTCCGATGCCATTATGCTCCAGCTCTATTCTTGGGATTTCTGCCGCTTGCTTTTCTTTCATTCTTGTATTTCTTCCGAAGGCACACCTCCGGATTCCCTCCAATTCCTTTCGTCTCCCCTTTTGGCGCACCGTTCAGGGCTTTTTCAGACGTGAAGGATCGGATTTTTCCCCTTTTGGCTTTCCCCCACTTAAAATTTTTCCCTTGGCGCGAATACCTTTCCTCTTTTTTTTTTTTTTTTGGAGGATCTTTGAAGAAGTGGCGGATCCATGCAGTATAGGAGGCACGGTCCGTCCTTACTCGACTAGTCCTCCTCGCTGAACCATCGAAAACGGAACTCCATCGACCACAAGTTTGAAGATTTAGTTTCAGAGATTGGATCAAAGAATCATCTTCAGGGGGTGTTTGCTCAGGGTCGAAGGCATCAGGGCCGGTCACTTCCAGGCGCAGCAACATGAACACATCCTCAAGGGTGGGCCCTATCTCGTGCTGGCCAAGTATAAAGGTGTGTGTCTCAGTGCTCCACCGAAGAGCCATGGCTTCTAGGCTAGCATTGTTGCGACGGATGGATAGAGATCTAGATATTTTCACCGGGATCAATAGCCGGGCCTCCTGAAGCCGTTGACAGAGGCTCTTGTCCGAGAGGACATCATCGACCCACTCCTGCCAACCAAAAGGGGGGTTTGAGAAGGCCTTGAACTGAGGATAACAGTATGGAAAGTCCCCCCGCTCAATCCGAAAGCGTAGCACCGAGGAAAGAGAAATGAGGGCCTCATGTCCAGAATCAGTGTCCTCAATGAGATATAATGGAGCCCCCTTCGGAGATAAAAAAGAAGTGGTGGAGGTAGTCGCCCGCCAGAAGGGGTCCTTCTGACCAAAATAAGGAGATTTCCTCCACTCAGATGCCGGAGGTACATCCCTTTCTTTCATGAGAGCCGGTTCTGATGACCCCGGAGCTACGGGTTTCTTTTGAGAAGACATATGGCTGAAATAACAGGTATAAATAGTAAGGAGTTGACCGTATTAAAATTCAGAATATTGGAATTAAAGCAACACATTCGAATGAAATTTCGGCATCAACTATTCGTTTCTCTGAGAGTCCATGAATTCAACAAATTCTACGAGGAATTTTTTTACACCAAGAGTCCAGGCACGATGTCTACTATTCTAAGGGTCGCAACAATCAGTCATTTTTTTATAATTAAATTTACATGATGGGTTTATCAACAGGTTCAACCCCAGAAGTCATCAACAATTCTTTTTCTTGGGTATTCCTCAAGCTCAACAAATTACAGTACCAATATGTGTATCAACAACATACAGATTTTCGGTTTTCATCATCGATAAGAGGTGCAATAGCATAGGTCGTTTTGTGATGAAGTTCAATTGGGTCAATTTCTCAAAGTCACTATGTTCCATATTAGAGGTCCAATTTATACGAGGCTCAAAATTTGGACAGAGTGAAGTTCAATAGCAAATTTCAGGCCCGAGATCTGAAGCATATTACATTGCTCATCAGTAGTAAGATTCAATGGATCATTATGCAAATTACAAAAATGTCCTTTCCAAAGTCCATATTCATAAGCCCAGGATTTTCTCTCTCCATGTCAAAAATGGAGCTCAAATACTAGTCAACAAGTTATATTCGGCCTTTCCTCGGTGATAAAGTTCAACAAATTATGTTCAAGCCAAGCACCTCAATAAGGTTTCAAGTGCTAGTGCATGTTTCCATATGGCCAAAATCACGGTGTTTGAGCTAAAAAAAATATATCATTGGGATTGCCACAAAAATTGAGTCCATATTCATATTCAGTTTTTTTATTTTTTTATTTTTTATTTTTATCAGATTGCTTGAGCCCTCTACATTGCCACAAAAATATATTTATATATATTTAAATATATTTACATTCGGAAGAGGGGGCCGAATTTCATACTTACAAATTTGGTTATATGACTTGCCCTTCGATACTGGAAATTTAAGCTGAAATCAGAGAGGCTTTACAGACTGTAATCAACAAGACTGGGCTAGGCTTGGCAGGACCACACACGTTGCGTTGAGAGGGCGAACGTGTGTGGTGTGCGTTGGAACCGAAGTTGAAGCCGGAAGCAACGCTGGTACCACAGAAGAGTCGGCAACCACACACGTTGCGTTGAGAGGGCGAACGTGTGTGGTGTGCGTTGGAACTGTCGAAGTCAACAGTGATCGGAGCTGGAACGGAACTTCTGATTAGTATTGCCAGAACTTCTAAAACTACAATATTTTTTTTTTTTTTGGGATTCTATCTGCAGATCATATGCTTTTACTCCTGTGTATGAGGCTGCCACAAGGCCCATTGAAGAATCCCCTCCTGTCAATTCTGGTAATCCGAGCTCTAAACAAAAAAAATATATATATATGATAGTCAATATATATATATATACTTGCCCACAGGTTTTCAAGTAGCAAAGTAAAAAAAAAAAAAAACTGAAGCAGTCTTGTAGATTGATTAAATCTACATCAGTAGGATTAAAGCAAATACCAGCGCAGAGAACCAGCACCATGGGCAGTAAAGCAAACACCAAAGCTTTTAAAAAAAATAAAATAAATAAATAAAGAAGAGAACCAGCGACAGTATGGGCAGTGGGCGAGAAAGGCTACGGACAGACCCACGCCGCGTTGAGGGGACGGCGCGGTCGTTACTGGTCGGTTACAGTTGACAGGTGCAATGGCGGTGTAGGAGCTGCGCATGAGATAGATGAGGCCACGCACAGAGCAGCGCCATGGTGGGTTCGCACAAAAGCCAACGGTGGCGCTCGGAGGATTGAGACAACAGACGATACACAAGCAATGGTGGTATTCGCCGGCGTTGATCAGTAAGAATGAAGCTCCGATGCGTCTGGGTCTTTGAGGAGCTGCTCGTTACACCGAAGAGAAGCACCAAAGGTGAGTGACAGCTTGGGCCGCGACGTCTGTGACTGTCGGAGCTATGACAAGTTGATGGCTGGGTCTTCAGCGGTGTTGCTTGAAGCCGCGATGGAGGTCTGTGCAAAGCGGCAGCAGTGCTTGTTTGTTGAAGAATGAGGATGGCCTCTCGATCTAGAGAGAGTAGGTTGAGAAATGGTGTGGCGGCTGTGCAAAAGATTTTGGTGAGGTGTAGGGTTTTGGCCCCTTTTCCTTAAATAGAAAAAAAAAAAAAAGAAGCCTTATCCTTTGAATATTTCATTAGTATATGCTAATCATGTATATATAGGTAATTGATCTGCTGTGTGCCAAACAACGAAAAAAAAAAATGCTTCTTTATTCTTTGGTTAAAAAATATATACATCTATATTTTCTCAAAAAAAAAAAAAAATTTGCTTGTCAATTTTTTCTGTAAATTGAAGTGCGTCATCAACTTTATCCATTGGCTCTATCGTGACAACATGTTTTTTTTTTTGGGAACGTGATGCGAAGCAGGGTCGAAGAAATGACAGTATGCATGTCCGAGAAAATTACAATTTCTCGCACACGCAAGGGGCAAATGTAAGAGGAGCTAATTTAAGCCCACTAAATTATTTAGGCCCAATAGCCCAAGATTAGTGGGCCCGAATTTATCGCAAGTCCAAGATCGGTGGGCCCAGATTTATCGCCATCAAACGGGCTGAATCGTTCTAAGCCTCGAAGGGGTTCGGATCCACGAACTTAGAGACTTAGAGACTTACTCGGGCCCGGACTCGAAAGGGTGTTGAACAAGCCTAGAGATCCGAGGCACTCGGACTCGAAAGGATTCGAACCTACGAATCTAGAGATCCGAAGCACTTGGCTTCGAACGGATTCAGATGCAATCTAGAAGCCGCTCCATTAATGACTCCCAGAACACTTGCGGGCTCGGAGATTTCCGGGATCTACGCACCAGAACCATGGGCGTAATGGAGTTCGAACAAAGGACCCGATCCCGAGGACGGTGAGTGGAGATAAATTCACTCTTCGGTTAAACTAGCCTATACCCAAGCAAAAAAATAAAATAAAATAAAATAACATATATATATATAATAAAATAAAATATTATATATATATATACATCATAAGCCATCTATATATATATATATTCGAAATGGGCTGGACAGTGACGAACTGGGCTGGTGATGATTATTGATCTCAAATTAGCCTCCGCCAGAACCATACTTCTTTCCAAACACAATCAGCTGGAGCTTGTCGTAACCCGCAAGCACACCCGCACCAGCAATCGCACGGAGAATGTTAGCACCGGCACCCTTGAACAGAGATTTGGCACCCTCATTCTTAAGGATTTGAGAGAAAGCATCGATCGAACTCTTGTACTTCACAGCTTCACCAGATGTCATCATCATTCTTCTGCGGACTGTGTCAATTGGGTAGGAGGCCAGACACCTTGAGAGTGAAAGTGGGAGATCAATGGGAGAGCCTTGCCATTATTCTATTCTCTAGCCATTTTGCCTTCTTCTTCACCCAATCTCTTATCTCCATCATCTCCTTTGTTGTTGTGTTCCTAAGTTGAGATTATTGAAGAATCTAAGCCTCTCATCATATTCTAGAGAATTCGAAGTTGTTCTTCAAGGATCTTCGAAGATCTTCGAATTTTCCAACTCTTTTCTTGAACCCTTTCCTACAAAATAAAAGTTAACTTTAAAAATAAAATAAAAAATATTTAAGACATGAAAGGCTAAAGCAAAAAAATAATATATACATAAATTGCTACAAAGTAATGGCTAAAAACAAAGGCCACAACCATAAAGATTGTTGCTAAAAAATAGACATAAATTTCAATGAGAAATTGGAAATTGAAAACTAAAAACCAAAAAAAGTAGGATGGAGTGAATTGGGTTTTGATCATTATAATGATTCAACGTCACCACAGCCATTAACCATCCTTTCAATAAAGCTCAAAGCATAGATTAAAATGTACAATATTTGCTTTCGTAATTGTTATATCTTCAAATCACAAATGAACTAAATTGGGCAATAGTTTATCTTCTTATTTCTCACATATGTGATAGTGATATTGTTCCACCGTAACTCACCATACTGACCAATGAGTCCTTAGAGAAGCTACAAAAAGCGCTTGAAGACCTTAAGCTTCCTAAGCAAGTAGTGGCCCTTGCAGGCATGGAAAGAGTTGGGACATTTTGTCAAACCACTTATATTGTGTTTGGTTGGAAGATTAGAGTAGAGATTTAGAAAGAAAAATAGAAAATGTAGGTAAAATATGAATAAAATATACTTACATTTCACCTAGTTTCACACATCTTTTTCCTTTCTCTTTCTAAATCCCTCCCTAAATTTCCCAACCTAACACATCATTAAAAACGTAATGGAGTTGAGTGACACATTACCTATCCATTGATGCCACAACTCAATCATAGCTTGGCTCCTAGCCATCGCTGCCCAATCCCTGTCCATCGCAATTTATATCCCTCATCTTCTTTTGGTTTTTTGGAATTTAATTGTGCAGAAAATCAAATCCTCAACAATATGCTAAACGAAACTAACATTTCCATGCCTTGTGGCTTCGAATTGGGCGGTAGATAACCCTTAGCAGTCAAATCATGAACCACAGTCACCACCTCCATTGCCACTAGTGTCCCAGAAAAACTAGTACCAAATAAAAACACTAAAATGTTTAAGTGTCGTTTGGTAACACTTACGTTTTCAGTTTTCTGTTTATATTTACAAAAATTTTAAAAACTCAAATAAAAACTTGTTTGGTAAAATTTTTGATTTATAAATCAGTGGTCTCAGTTTATAAATTTGGCCAAAAAATGAAAACACAAAAAATGTGTTTCCATTTTGAGTTTTCAATTTTTTTTTTTATCACCCAACATTAGCTACCCCCCGCCACCATTTTCCACTACCGTCATCCGCCGCCACCACCCACCACCCACCCTCCACCACCACCACCTGCCGCCACCACTCACCACCCACCTACTACCACCAGCCACCACTCGCCACCACCACCCCCCTGCCACCCACCACCCACCACCACCCACTACCCCCCTGCCACCCACTCGCCGCCACCACCCACCCCTCGCTGCCACCACCACCACCACCACCCACTCGCCACCACCCACCACCGTCACCACTTTCCACTACCGTCTTCCGCCACCACCACATGCGGCCTGCCTTCACTTCTATCATTGCATCTCTTACCAATTCATAATGGCATTGTTAAAAAATGTCTCCAATTTGCGAGCCTTGGGAGTTCTTTTTAAGTCGGTTAGAAATAGAAGCCATGAAGTTTTTAGAAGAGACTCCTGAAAACACCTTACCATACCAAAGGCTAAGTTGTTTTGCTTCTTCCTTGTTACCTCTTTCCATGCGTTGTATACTTGATAACCCTCCAAGGTGGCCTTAACAGATAAATTATTGCCTGTATCTAGAAAATATTAAATGTCTTTTATATTATGAAATCTTAATATCAAGGACCTTAAAAAAAACCCTATTTTTTATTAAATACTATTAAAAAGTCATTAATAGTTAATTTTCAACGACAGTTTAAAAATTGTCACAAAAATATCACTAATTATAAGTTTTAGTAACAATTTAAAAAAATCGTCACAAAAAGTTACTAATTTAAAACTTTCAGTGACATTTTAAAAAATGTTACTAATTGTAAGTTTTAGCGACATTTTATGAAAACCGTGATAAAAAAAAGTCACTAATTGCCAATTTTTAGCGACATGTAAAAGATCAACACAAAAAAATTATTTATTTTTAATTTTTTTTAAACATTTTGTCAATTACCAAATGCGTTTGTAGTTTATATTTTTCTAAAAATAAACAAAAAATAAACAAAAACCAATTTATAAAATTTTTGTAAATATAAACTGAAAACGTAAACGTTACCAAATACACAAATTTCTCCACATTTTGATGTTATTATTTATGAATTGAAGCCATTATGTGTTGGAGTTGGTGAGAATGCTAATAAGCACACAATTAAATCATTACAAATTGTTATATTACTTATTCTATTTTTTGGATATCTTTTTACAAAAAATATAATTAAAAAAAAATATATTAAAACAATTAATTTTCAAATCAATCCTTAATATGATTTTTTTCGATACATAAAAGGATGAAATTAATTGTTGTGAGATTTTAAAAAAAATGATAAATATGTATATATATAATTATTTTAACAAAAAAATTGACAGACTGTTCTACATGTGTGACTTGGTATAGGCCTTGAGGAGTTTTGGGGGAGGAGCTCTACCTATGCAATGACGTGTGCCCACAGGTGCGGCAAAATGGGGCAGCTTTTGGTTGGAGATTGCGGAAAACTACACGTGCAACCAAAGGGGCACTATATGTGCAGATGGGGCCAACACATGTGCGGCCTCAGGCTCTGAGGTGCAGCCTAGAGCGTTTCAGACCTTGAATTTTGTGCCCTCTCTTACAAAATTCTTCTGTCTCCCTTTGGTTGGAGACTATGGGAAACCGAACGTGTCACCAAGGGGCACTGCACATGCAGAGGTAGCCACCACAGGTGCGGCCCAGCGCATTTTAGATCTTGGAATTTTGTGCCCTCCCTCACAAAAATTAAAATTTATGATTTATTTTAAAACAGGGAAAATTTTAGGTAGGTTGCGTTTGATTGAGTTCTATAAATATGATTTGAGAGTATGAGTTGTATTTTGAGTTTGTGAGTTGTGAATTTGTGATTTGAGTGTAGAAAATTTATTTGGTTATGATTTTTGAATAGAGTGTTGAATTGAGTTTTGAATTGAGTGTGGAATTGAGTTTTGAAAGTTTGATTTGACATGTGAAGTAAGAAATTTTTTTTGATTATGAGTTTTGAAAAGTTTTCAAAACTCAATTCAAATTATTATAACTCATAACAAAACACACTCCTTTCACACTGTTAAAAATTCTGATCAACACCCATAACCAAACTCTTTTTAAAATTCAATTAAAAAAATTATTATTAACAGAAAATAACAATAATCAATTTTTTAATTGAAAATACTACAAAGGAAATAATTTTTTTTCAAAATAAATATTCAAAAAATTTAAATCATAAATATTTAAATAATTTAAATAATCTAAAAAAATTAATAAGTAAAAAATTAAAATGAATATTCAAAAAATTTAAATCGTAAAAATTTAAATAATTTAAATATTCAAAAAATTTAAATAATTTAAAATGTTAATATTTTAAATTTAAAAACAAATTTACACTCAAATCGTAACCAAACACATAAAACAAAACTCAATTAAGAAATTATTTTTAAAACTCATAACCAAACATATAACTCGAAACTCCATACTACTTTCATAACTCTACACTCAAATCATAACCAAATACATAACAAAAAAATTAAAATATTTAAAAATATTTTTATAAAATAGAGTTTGAATTTATTTTTATAAAATATTTTAAAATTTAAAAAATTAAAATCGTAATATTTTGAAATTAAAATATTTAAAAATATTCAAAAAATTAAAAAAAATCGTAACATATTTAAATATTAAAATATTTAAAATCTTAACAAAATTAAAATATTGATTTGAATTGAGTTTTGAAAAGAGTTTTGAATTATGTGTTTTTAAATTGAGTTTTGAGAAATGTGTGTAGAATTATGATTTGAAAACTCCAAACAAACAACACACTCAAATTAATAGGTAGAATTATATTTTGAAAGGCTTACCAAACGGAGCCTTAAGTTTCTTTTTTTTTTTTTTTTCTTAATTTTTCAAAATAGTGTGGGAAGATTTTGGTGGGCGTGAAGAGAGATAGAGTTGATTGGATCATCATAGTTGTAGTACAAGTATAAGCCAGAGATAGAGGAGAGATTGCAATTTCGACAAGAGTGGTTGAAGCAAAAGTAAGAATTGGAGATGAGATGGAGCCAATTCATGGAGATAGACTAGTGATTAGGGATGTGATGACTAGTGTTGTATGTCTTTTCACTCTTTGTCTTCATTGGATTCGTTGCGTTCGGAAGTTTTTCTCAAATTTATGTCCTTGTTTATTCCAGGTTGAGTGTCACTTGTTCCGAAGGGTGCACGGTCGAGTCCGGAGTGTCTGGAATCGAACCGGAAAAATTTTGGATTGGAGGAACAGGGCCGTGCGTACGGGACCTTGGGCCGCACGTGCGAGAGATGAAGCCGCACGTGCAATGAACTGGGGCTTTTCAGCTTGCACACTGCATTATATACAGGTGCGGAGTGAGGTGCGGGGAGGGACCACTGCACATGCAGGGGATGAAGGCCGCACGTACGGAAAGACGCTTCGCACGTTCGGGAGAGGGCGCCGCACGTACGGGCCTCTGTACAGTCCGAAAATCTGCTTTTCACCTTCTTTGGGCTGTTTGTATATCACTTTTGTTGCATCTTTCTCTCTCTCTAAAAACTCATTTCTCTCCCTTTTCTCTACATTTTCCACATCAAAACAAGATCAAATCCTTGATCTTTTTATATCCATTAGAAATTTTCCCATAGCTTCTTCATCAAAGTTGAAGAGCTCATCAAGAGCTACATTGTGTACGGTGGAGATTGGGTTTTGACACTATTGATTTCAAGGGTTTCATCTCTTTTTTTTTTTCAAAACTTGAGGTAGGGACTTCTTTGAGTTATATATACTTGTTTATGCAAGGTTGATGTTGATTTTGAAATTTCTTAAAGATATTATAAAAGTTTTGGTTTTTGACTCAAGAAATTAGTGGCTTGTTAAAGAAATTCATCTTTTGTTTCTTTGAAAGATTATCTTGAATGGTTGAAGCACATTGGCATAAAAATGATGTTTTTGGTGGATTTTACCAAGAAATGAAGAAATGAATTGTTTGGGTGAAAAACCTAGAAATTTGTGGGTTTTGGTGGATGTTGAGAAATTATGACTTTACTTGTGTTAAATGAATGTTCAAATGGAAATTTCATGACATTGGATACGAAATGTCAAACTTCTTAGTATGTATGAAATTAGTAAACGTTTTGTTGGAATCTATTGTTTATGGAGACATGTATATAAATCTTGAAATGACAAAATATTGAGACCATATGAGATGTGAAAAATGTTGCAACACTTGGATAGATGTAAAATTTCATGTGTTATACATGTTAAATGTATTGGAAAAAGGAAGTGGACCTTGTGATCGCAAATGGAACAACTGTGGGGAAATTATTTAAATGGTTAGATGATACATCGCATAGGTAATCACTACATGGCACAGTTAATTGTTGCATTGCATGAATAACTGTGGCATTGGCATTTCAATAGATTGCTTGCTATAAACATTGAATTGAGATTTGAAACTTGCATTGAGAAAGAATTATTGAGAAATAAGAACTATTGAAATGTATTGGGATAAATACGTTGGTAAGTCCGAATAGGAGGTGTAGATGGACTTTATTAAGTTGGCCTGAGTGTCTGGGGTAAAAGACCGAAAACACGCGCGGAGGAGATACCACTTCCCTTCCGGTTAGGAACTGGTAAAGTGGGGTTTTTGGTAGTGCTAGTTATGCCTACTTGCAGACACCAATCTAGGAATTACCTGAGTCATATTTACCGCCCCAATGAATTAAATTGTAAATTTCTGAATCATAGAGAATTTCAAGTTATCATTGTGCATGG